CCGCTCTCCTTCTTCAAAGCCAAGGCGGGAGGGCTGGTGGGGAGCACAGCAGAGCTGAAGCGTGTGGACTTGCTAATGGCTGATCCACTGTGACAAACTTGGGGAATTAAGAGAAAGATAAACATGCTAGAAGGTGCTGATAAGGAGAGATTTTCTCCAAAGCATGAGCACAAGGGACAATGGGTGCAGGAAACAAGTTACGATGGCTTCCCAAAGGTCATTGAGTCCAGCCAGGGACAGTGAGGAATCACAGGCAGACATTTGGTTCAAGTCTGACTGATTCCCCGTCCCGCCCAGAGCTGCTGTTGTTCTGTCTCTGAATAAGAAGACATTTGTTAAAGGTTTCTTGGTAGAGCTGCTGTCTGTCTGCCACAGCACCCCTGAGAGCACAGCCCCGTGAGGGACTACGGCCCCACAAAGGCTCCAGGAGTCAGGGAATGGTTGGGGCAGCGGACACTCGCTTCAGGGTCTGCAGATGACCCCGAGGAGAACACATTCCAATGGGAAGAGCCAAGCCCAGCTGAAGGGGTAAGGAACGTACCACTGTGCCGTTGGGGAGGCAGATGATCATCTCCACGGGGAAGTTGTATTTCTCCAGGTGCAGGTCAGCCAGCTTGCTGTAGAACTCATTCTCTCTGTTGCTCTGTAAGGAGACCCCAAAGAAACCTGTTGCACACCCCAAAACCAGCAGAACGGCGCAGGAGGAGTACACTGAACACAGGAGGAAGGGCGCGACCGAAGAGCTGCTTTGCACCACGGTGGTAACTGCTTCCATTGTTGTGATCTGCTTTACTATTCCCTTTCAGTCAGTCTCCCTCACATATCAACCGCAGATTTTCTCCCCAAACAATACAATCACCCCATCACTGGCAGTTCCCAGGCACACCAACAGTCTGATCCCAGCTTTTCCCAGAGTCTCCAGCTCTGTGACCGACCCCAGCTGACAGCACAGGCCCAGAGACAGGCTCCTAAGCGGGGAAAGGTGCCATCGGAAGACTCAGGGTTCAGGCAGTATTTGGTTGCTCCCAGGGTTACAGAGAAGTCAGTTTGCTGATGGCACAAATGGCCTTGGGCAGGGCCATCTCACAGTGAAGCGTCTGCTTTAGCTTTTAAACTCAGCACCACGGCAGAGCGAAGGGGGTCATTGTGCCATTTTCTTAGCCTGCCTCCATCTGCTGTTGGCTTGGCCCCCGCAATCGCTAGGACGTGGAGAGCTTGGAACTGAAATCCCCCACTGGCACAGGCGCGAGCTCCCCCCTCCTGCTGGCACCCCCGTGCCAAGCACCGTCTGCGTTCACCGGTGCCGAATGCAAAGGCGGCAGACACGGCTGCGACACTCACCTGCAGCTCTTCCAGCTCCTTCACCAGTGACCAACTGCTAATGAAACTCTCGTTCAGCAGTGCGAGGATGGGCGAACTTTCCAGGACGGTCTCCCGGAGAGTTCGCCCTGAACCTGGTACAGGAAGAGAAGCAGACAGTGGTTTGCTGTGGTTCCTGAGCTGACTGTTGCCATGTCCGATGTCACCGTGATGCCAGCACTCTGCTTGCTGGGGCAGCTGGCTCAGGCTCCCCCCAGCCCGGCCCATTGTCTTTTTTCTCTTTTGTTGGCAGCTTTCCACAGCTCATTGTTTCCCATGTGTGCTGCTGGGAAAGACAACTCACCAGAGCAGACCTCAGCCACTTGCAAGCCAACAGAAGGACCAGCACAAGCTTGCCAGGGAGGCTGACTGGTGTGGTGCATTTAGGGAAGGATCAGGCCCTGCAGATCCACCCTGAGTGCCTCTTGCTGTTCACGCTGAGCAGAGCCCATACATGCGGGAGAGTTTTCAAGGGCAGACACGACTAAAGATACTGCCCCTCTCCCACCCATCACTCCTGCTCAATGTGGCATGCAAGTTCTCAGGTGTGGGGCTGGGGGAAACAGCTATACTTCAGGAGAACCCCAAGCTCACATCTGGCTCTGGCTTCTCCTGTGCAGGTGTGAGGGACAAAGCAGAGAGCAGTGTCCCTCTCACAGAATCCCAGACTGGCAGGGGTTGGAAGGGCCCTCTGTGGGTCACCCAGCCCAATCCCCTGCCGAAGCAGGGTCACCCAGAGCAGGCTGCACAGGGGCTTGTTCAGGCGGGTTTTGAATATCTCTAAAGAAAGCAGAATCCACAACCTCCCTGGGCAGCCTGGGCCAGGGCTCCATCACCCTCAGAGGGAAGAAGTTCTTCCTCGGGTTCAGCTGGTGCTTTCTCTGCTTCAGTTTGTGCCCGTTGCCCCTTGTCCTGTCACTGGGCACCATTGTAAAGTGTCTGTCCCCGTCCTCCTGACACCCATCCTGCAGATATTTAGAGGCGTTTCTAAGGTCCCCTCTCACTCTGCAGATGCTGCCTCTACCCAAGCAGACTGAGAGAGGAAAAGAAAAAGACCAGACCCATGCCTGCACCTCAACAAAGGCACCTGAACCAGCGAGTTGGTCTAGGGCTTGTCTCAAATAGATCTGATCCTACCGCTGCAGACCTCAGCTCTGATCAGTTAATTCCTCACTTCCAGCCCTTTTCTATTCAGCATCTTCAGGGCCAAAACGAGTAACACAACATCTGCCGCTGGCTTGTGACCAGCTCCCTGACCCCCGGCTCTTCTCAGAGCCTGCACGAGGCACATCATTCCTCCAGCCACGTGGGGAGCATCCTCACCTCAGCAGGACTGGTCGTCCAGGGCACCCCACAGCAGGATCGAGTGCACCAGCTTCTTTTCTGCTTTTGCTCTCTCAAAAGCTTGTGTGAAGGGAAGATAGGAAACCTGGAGGCAGAGAGATAGCTTGAGAAACAAACAAAGAACAGCCCGTCTCAAATACGAGCAGGGTCTGAAGGAACCAGACCTGCCACACCCCACAGGCGACGCGCACAGACTTCGATCTGCAGTAGCTCCTGCGGAATAAAGCAAATGACAATGGTGGTGCAGTCCCCAGGGCAACTTCATCTCCTGGAGAGGCTGCAGTGAGCACCTCACAGCATGCGGGCTGCCACTGGCACCCGCAGAGCCCCACCTTCACACACTGCAGAGAGCATCTGCACAGCCGCAGGCAGGCTCGCTGCAAACACACCTCAGCAGCCTGGGAAATCCGGCCTTGAGATATTTATGACAAAACCTCACCGAAACGGTCTAAAAACTGGCTGTGAGGGACCCTGCAAGAGACTGTTCCAACTGCTCAAATGAAGGGAACTTCATGAACATCTTGGCAGCCCAAAGGGACGTTTGTAAGCTCAGGCACAAGGAGGCAGCCGCTGAAACGGGTCCCTTCAGCCAAGGAAGCAGTGACAGGCAGCAGCCATCTGCTCCACAGGCTACTGGCATGTTGTATAGTGTGGGTCACCCAACGCTATCAATTTGTGTCTCGCTGCAGGATGCGGAGGCGCAGGCAGATTGTCTGTTTTCTGCTGATAAGGAAAGCTGGGTCCAAAGGTAGCTGAACGGTGCAAAAGCAACGCCAGAGGAAAACCATTTGTAAGCAGCGCGATTACCTGCTTCACTCACAAACTGCATCGGCAGCTACTGATAAGAGGAAGGAAGGATGAGCCTACATTTGCAATACCAGCCTGGGACACACCACATCTCGGCTCTGCTCCTGCCTGTGCTGCTGTGCGACCCCAAACGGCCTTTCAGGGCTGCTGTATTCCCTCATCTGGAAATGGGAAGTCCATCGAGCCACACACACAGTGTCCACTGAGCTGGGAGACCCTCACACTGCTCTGAATGCTCATCAGGTTGTGGCCTCTGGTTTCTGCTGGTCCTCCAGGTGGCTGGACATCTCAGCGAAGATGACCTGCCCCAAATAAACGCGCCAAGGAAGAGCCCGGCCCCTTCCTCACCTTCTTAAAGGGATACATGGCCACTTCCAGCTTCTGGGCTGCCTCTTCCCAGGGGATTTCTTGCTGCCAGGTTATCTCTTCGAACACAAACTGAATGGGCTCCCCTGAGGGATCCCTGCTGTCAATCACATTCCCATTCTCGTCATGGATCACAGAGGGGATTGAAGGCCCTGTTGATTCCAGCTCCATCTGCAGGAGAACAGGCTGAGAGTTGGACATTGCAGACATCCCACTCCTGTTTTTTCCATACTCCGGGACAGGATAAAGATGCAAAATAAAACTGTGCAGCTTCTAATGGAGATACAGCTTGATCTGTTGTCTCCCGGAGCTGCACTTTAGCAGTTGCAAATGTGTTTTATTTGGAAATAGCAGGAAAGCAACTTCATTTCCTTCAGTTACTGTCTGACTGCGCTCACTAGATTGGAAATGCCTGAGACCTGTTCACTCTGTGTTCCCACCTTCACAGTGGAGATTTTTGGCTGTGTGACACCAGATTCTTAAAATCACTGGGACCTGCTGGGCTAGTCAGCAGCTCTTGCTCAGGCCACCAGCACGGCCGCTCCCCAGCTCCTGGCCAGCCACAAGAGGGTGCAACAGGGAAAGCTCTTCAGGAGCTTCCCTTTAGTTCCCTGTTCTGGTACATCTGAAATCATTCTGTAAGCCTCTTTTCCTGACTTTTGGCAATTAAAAAGAAACATGGTTGTAGTTAAGGAGAAAATGGGACTGTTAAATTCAGGCATTCAAAATCCTGACTCATGATTCCCGTCCTAAAAGCTGGGGTTACCACAAAATAGAGGAATAACCTCATGCAGTTTCTAAATTTAGACACTGTTGTTCATACACCCCTCTGGGCTCAGAGCCTGGGTTCAGCTCCTGATCTCCCCCCCACACCTCCTTTTTTAAATGGAAAAAGTCACACGACCCCAGGAGCTTAGGATTCAACTCACACAGAGGGAAAAAAAAACCCACCACAAGAACTGGCAACAGGGAGCCACGCCGCTGCAGACGACATACACAGATCAACAGAGATTATATCATTATATTGAAAAGTTCAACAGAAAGCTCTAATGAACTGGGATAACTGAGGTTATACAGCTCAGGGCCACGGCAGAGTAAATCCCTGCTGAGATGCTGCATGCACACAGAGGACCGAGAGCGGCTACAGACCTGAGGCAGGTAACCGATATCCACTTCCATGTTGCTGCTTTCACTCGCCCCATACAGCCACTCCATATCGACGTTCAGAGACCTGCAAGGCGAACCCCACACGGTCAGAGTCGCCCAAGGCTAAAGGTGTGTATGGCAAACCCCAAACAAATGAGAACATCCAATGCTCCTCTTGCAGGGTCAGCACCGAAGCCCAGAGCCTCTGGCCCCCTGGAGATCACCCTGTTCCCTGCACAAGACCAGCAACACCAGCTCCCTCCCGGATCAGGGGCCCAGACACCCACCCAACACGCTGGGCAAACGCACTCACGCCTTTGAGTACTGTCAAAGTAAGGAAGAGTGAGGTGTCTTTGCTCCCTCTTCCTTCCCAGCACTTGACTTGCACATTCTGATCCTGCTGA